CCCCTAAATGCACACACCACCCCCCGTCGGCATCGGATTAAACCGAAAGCCACGTGACTGGCTCAGGCAGCATGCACTGCTCAGTCGTCACGGGGACCTTAAACACCCCAGCTGTCTCTGGCCCCATTACATAAAGCAAAGGCTAAACAAACCACAGCTTCAGTCTTGCGCCACAGTTTATTTTAGTCATTCGGCAAACACATTTTCCCAGAGTGCCTTGCAGAGCTCATTTGCCAAGGCAGCTAAACACAAAGAAATACTGCACCATTAACCGCTACGTCATTTGCATCCGCCCAAATGTGGTGTCGACCTTGCGTGTAAAAGCACACAGGGTTCAATTAACGACCTGACCACCTGGGACCTCTGTGACTGACAGGTCAGGGTGGGGGGGCTGTTACAGTTTTCCGAAATTAAAACCTAATCAAAAGAAAGACTTGATTAGAAATTCTCCAACTGAATGGGTAAGTAGCTTGATAATACTGGGCATGGAGGGAGGTACGACTGAAGAGCTGCTGGGTGTATGACCCGCCACCACAGAAATGTCGCTAAGGCTTTTGAAATTCTCTCTCATCGGTGACGTCCTGAAGCTGCCCTTGCCAGATTCCCTGTCACCTGACCTAGATCCGTCCCTGAGTGTGCCGGGCAGTGGGAGGGCACCCACGGGACACAAACGCTGAAGGAAAATATTAAATGATTACTCCTTCCCCACACATGAGGAGGATATGAGGAGCGGTGGGTAAAACGATGGGTAGAATCCACTAAATTTTGCTGTTCATCTGGAATGTTACCAGAAATTAACACTTCTCATCCTCATGGATTCTACGTTCTTTATCAGACATCTCTTGGGACAGATAAATTGCCGCGGCACTGCCAGAACCCCGAACATTCGGCTGCTTCCCCCTACGTCTGTCATACCTGTGGCCCTGCTGATGACTCCAATTAGTCTGAACAATGTGCTGTCTCACCGCCAGATGTTGCTAATTAAGATGCCTGTCCCCAGTGTGCTGTGCCTTCAGTGTGATTGACCATGGGCAGCCCGCGCTGGGGCGGCGTCAAACCAATCCCTGAATGGGTAAGGTGACATGATGACACCAGGGCAAGAAAGAGGTCTTCAGGACACACACGAAAGAGTAGTTATCGAGCAACATCCTTCAATCCCTGCCAGCTGCAAGCTGGTCTCTGGAGGACACGCATTTCAGATCGGGGCAGGTGGAAAAACAGCAGGTATGATTCTGCAGAATGCTGTTGAAGCTCTCAGTTAATCGCCTTTGAAGGACCTATTTTGGCTTTTCATAAGAAGTCACAAATTAACATCTGCAGATTTGAAAGTTCTGTAAGCGCCTTCATATTCCTGTAAGAAATCCTCCTTGTTGAATCAATGCATCTATTGTTCTGGATTTAACTGACAGGCTGCGGATTGCCTCTCTGTCTGATCTACACGCTCTTTGATGTAACAGCCCATAAGCAGATAAGAGTATGGTAAAAACACGTTAATCTTGCTTTGGTTCCAAGCACCACCCTAACACAACGGCATAAGGACCCAGCATCTTGGAAGCTTGGGGTGGTCTCCTGCATTGGGGTGTCGGGGTGGGGGCACGCTCATCACAGTGGGTGGAAGAGTTCTGCTAGGGAGGAGAGTCCCCAGAGGTAAAGCTGCTATGATAAACATCAGCTTGGGTGGGGGAGGGGGGACTAGCTCACACAGCTTTCACATCAACAAGAAAAAAATGTTCATGAAAGTGACCTACATTTCTAGATCGCTTTGAAGTTCCACAGAAGCCTTTTACAGATTATACATTCTTGGGCTTTCTGAGTTCTGCAGGCATATGCACACGCACCAGTGAGCAGACAGTAGTAACATTACTTTCTATTAATAGAGTGTGTTTAAGTCCCAAAAGCTTCCTGCTATATTTTAATCCCCTAGACTATGCAATGAGGCCCTGCCTCGTGTCAAAGCGGTCCCAAAAATACATCCCTGATTGCCAATTGTACCCAGCTGTCTGTTCATTCTAGAGCTGCAGCTGAATCTGCAGGAGGAAGCATTCGGTTAGGCAAATCGTAATCACATACCCATTCATTACCTCAGTTACTGGCCTCATGAAAACACACATTCTGTGAAAAACCAAATTAATCAAGTAAAGAACAGCTACACACTTGAGTAGAAATAGATGCAGGCTACCCAGTTCAATGGCTGTTCAGATAATGAACACATTTGCGTTTTCTCCCAGAGCTGAAAAGTGTGAAAAACAAAACTGTGCATGTAGTCATAAAGAAGGAATCCATTTTTGAGACACTCAAGCAAAGATTCATATCAAGACTGAGGAAAATCACATTACATGGCCCAAACAGTGTTGTGGAGCCAAGTTAGGCTTGATTTAAAAACAGAAATCATTATCAGTAGACGATGATTCCTACACTGCACACCAGGCAATGTGAGAATCCCACACTGCATTGCGCTGAAGATGTTACACAAGGGAAAGTCCAGACAGTCAACAGAAGTAAATAACACCTGGCCATGTTCTCCTGCCAAGGGCTGCCATGCTGCTGAAGCTCTTGGAGAAGTTGCACAGGTGCCCACAGACAAAACACGAGAGGTGGCACCAGCCCAACGGCCCCCACCCCCATCCTCACCACGCATGGGGGGAGGTCAGCACAGGGTGCCAATGAACTGGAGACAGCCCGCCGCTAACGAGCATAGCCCTCTTAATTGGCTCCCAGGGCACCATGATGCAGACTGCAAAGTCCTGGAAATAGGGTGAAGGGGACCCAGGGGTGGCAGTCGAACGGCACCGTTTGCTGGCCCAAAATCACAGCATCCTTGCAGTCGGCTACCAGGTACGAGCAGCGCTGAGCCCTCACCGCAGTAGGATGACGGAAACTGCTTCACCTGGGCTTAGTCTGTGCTTCACAAACCTGAGACACACCTCCAGATGATTACGTCGTCTACGAGTCAGTGCTACCCAGCCTTGCGAGTCTGCCTCCTCCCCGAGAGCAGGGAAGACTCTGTGAGGGTTGATTTCTGAGCGAATCCCGACTCGAGCCATCTGATATGGTGACAGCTATGTCAACTCCATTGCAGCGTTACGAGTTAACGAGCTATAAACTGCCAGAGAGATGTTCATGGGAACCAGCACAGTAAGTACTGTAAATGGCAATGAGTACACTGCATTTTCTGGTGCATACTAATGAATTTAATGCAAGAGATTTGTGACAAGAAAGTCCTGGACTAGGAGTTCTGGACCCTCAATGAATCACGCCTCATCAATATGAAGCCCCCCGAATCACTGCAGCCAGGCATCCAGCCTTAGAATGAGGGCACTTTGTGGACATTATGGGATGGCTAGCAGATGGCATCTCTGCCCCTTGCTTCATGACCTTCAGCTCCCCAAGCCCTAGTCTCACAGGGCAATGAGAACAGTCCAGAAGCAGTGAGCTTTGGCCAGAATTTCAAAAAGAGCCTCTATCTGACACTGCGGACTCTAAGAAAGGAAAACTGAAGGTGAGAACCAAGATGCCTGGAGGCCCAAAGCCATGAGCTTATATAGGACGCCATGTCTCAAAGGCAAGGGACGTGGCAGAGACATTGCATCAGGGCAACGAAATGACAGAAAAAGTTAGAAGAAAACTCAGCCCGAGGCACCGCTGACCTATTTCATTACGCTGAAAGTCCTTGACTGCCGGATTCTCCATGTCATGTTAATCGACCTTTCTGATACCTCTCCTGGGTGGAGCCTGGAGTGATTAATGAAGACTGACTCACCCTACAGCTGTTTCTGGCCACTGCCTCAACTTTCTTTCAGTGGCTGGTTTCTGGAAAAACACAGAATTGTAAGCTCTGCTTTACATATTAAGGGACGTCAAGGTGGATCTTCACTCTTGACTTTGTGGTATGAATGCTGACCTGATTTGGGCTTTTACTGAACATCCTAATCATACTGTACTTTAACGTCTTCACAAGCACAAGCCAGGCTCAAAGTGCTGGGTCATTTTTATTTTCATAATGATGTTGACATTGACCAACCTCATGAGCTGTTCTCCTTGGACAGGCTGCAGACTCACCGCAACCCAGAACTAGGCCAGTGCCCAGTGGTATGAAAAAGGGGGGTTGAGTGGATGGACGTTTAAACGTCGTACCAAAGAAACACTCAGATACCTTTGTTGAGGTATCTAGATAAGAAATTTCGGTAACACCAATGTCATGTCTATAAGAACACATGCACGTACTCATAAAACATTTTTATGCATCCATAAAGCATTATAAACATGCAGATGATAATAAATAGCAGATTATGGCCATGCTGGTTTTTTAAAAACCCTTCTTTCTGCCTGTTGCATGTCTGAAAAAAATCCTGGTGAGGTCATAGGAAAAGCACAGCGTGTTACTGTCTACCAATATGACAGGTACCCAAACAAACCAGCTATATAACAGTAATACAGAAACTCCGAGGAGAGACTTTCCGAATACTGTTAGAAAACGTTGGTTCACGGTCGGTCTCCCATAGGGAAAGAGCGGATGGAGCCAGAATTCATTGCTTATCTGGAATCTGCTTGTATTTTGTAATCAAAGCTGCAGTGTTCCAGCACATCTGGGCTGAGAGGTTTCAATTCAAATTCCAAACAGGTTTGCAGGGACTTGATTTGCCTCATTATTTGACTAATTAGGCCAATTTTGCTTTTATTTTTAGGTGAGAGATGATTTCATGCAGTCGATAAAACTTTAGAATTAAGCAGCACTTATGACAACCCTAATTGAATTTAATTGATCTTCATCATAGTTGAGTGCCATTACAATAATATTAATTGAAACAAGGTCACAGCTTGTTATTAATTAGTGTTACTTAGCCCTCCAGAATCCTCTGGAGATGTACAGCCAGTACAGATGATGTTTTCCATGATGAGGTTTCCATGAGTCCCATATTTAAGACGCTGCCCCAAGAACAACCATATACCCTCATATTAATGCTGTGTCCCACAACAGAGAACCTGCCATAAGGACTCACCCTTGTTCTTCCATCATCTCCTGCAGCTCCATGCATTTTAGCTCCACTCTCCTCTTCCGCTCATGGTCCAGGATTTCCCTGTGGGCTCTCTTCACCAGTACCGGCTCTGGCTTCTCCGACTCCTCGTCTGACTTAGGCCGGCCTGTGGATCCCCCCGGTTGGGAGAAGCCGTTGGCGCTGTCCTGGGGGGACGGCACCCTCGCCCCATCGTACATGGCCTCGGCACTCTGTGTGACAGCAAAAAAAAGTGAAAAAGTGAAATAAAAGTGAGTGAATTGAATCTGAAAGCTCTCCGGGGGGGGTTCCCCTTATGCACAAGGCTTCCCTTATGCATCTTTTCCTCATTACAATGACCCAAAAAAGGGGCCTCCTCTTCCCTCTTTATCGTCCTATGCATAGATACGATTTTCTCTAACCTCTACTCATTGCCTTTTTAGGGGGAAGGCATTGTTTTGAAGCTCACCATGGTGCAAATTGTTATGTGCCTTGTTGTGTTGTAGTCACTGCCTAGTTGAAGTCAAAACAAAGTAAACAATGTGAATAAGGTTAAAGTGCTTTGGAAACTCCAGCCACGTGTCAGGACTTACGTTAGTGCCATCAAGCACCTCTGTATTGAAGTACCGCATATTTTATCAAAATGCAAGATCAGACAAGGTTTGCAGGGTATCGGTGCAGGCTAGACTGCAAGGAACTTCTTTCTGACTCCCTAACAAAGGTAAATGAGTTACTCTGCATTGCAAGCAGAGATCAACGCTCATCAGTGTCCAGCATGACGTCAGGTAGTGCCAGCAGCCAAACCAGGTTGAGCAGCTGTCTCTTGCACAGATAAGAGTGAGAGTGCAGTACAGAGCAGTGATGTATGCTGCCTAGAGCCAGTCCTACCTGGCTCTGTGGAAACCTGTGTCAATTTAAGAGGACAAAGGAGATGGTTAAGATGCCATTTTTCTGCTATACTGACAGTGTTTCCTTGTCAAAACGGAGAAATGCCATGGACTGAGAAAAATCGACACAAAGGTATTAAAATCATATTTTATACGTGCTTCCACTGTACAGTCACACTCTCGATGCTCAAGTTGTATGAAACAGAAAAACGGGAGAGAATCAACACAGCTCTCCCACCAAGAACCCCAAGGTTTTCTATTCTGTTGATGAAGATGGAAACGACTGGCTGAGGCACTACCCAGCACTGCCCCTTAAGTTTCCAGCTGGGCTGCGATCTGTCGACCTGGCAGGCCCGTTTCGATCCACGCGTGCTGAGGATGACTCATCAGCTTCCACAGCATCACGGACTACTGCCCGTGTTCCTTGCAACTTGCAAAAGTGCATTTTTAGGTGTAGAAAGCAGATTACGCAAACGCATCTCTCTCCCTGTCCGCTTCTCATGGCTGTACCAGCCTTTCGCACTCCCCAGACTGGGAGCTGCATGTCTCGTTTTCCGTGCATGCCGATCCCCGGCATGAACGTCATGCTTAAGGAGTATTTCAGCAAAGACTTCACTTAATTCTAGTGTCATTTTAAGCCACTGTTCCTCATGAAACAAACCTGGTTTAATCACTGAAACTCAACAATCACCTTACGCAAAGATTTCTTCTTCTAGCCATGGTAGCCAAGATAATAGGAAAAAAAAAAGCATTTCATAAATTTCTTAGTTAATTACTTGCTAAGTAATGAAACAGGAGAAGTACCTGTGCAGAATCAATGTGTCCCTTTCACTGGACTGACATGACTTGCGAGACACACCCAAGATAAAACACAAGTTAACAAAGTTAACTGACAAGTTAACAAATCAAATAGCAATGACACGATTAGTTGCTCCAGCAACAGTCCTTTATGTGTGGGAATGTAGATGGTCACCAAAATGCCAGTGGAGGGGTGCAACCACATGCCCTTAGTCTGTCTGGAGATAGACGCTTAGTGCGACACTTGGTCGAAAGCAAGGCTCACTGCTTGTTTGGCTCGGCAAGGGAGACTGCAGTGAGAAAGGCCAGAGAACACTCTGGAAAATGCTGCACGACCCCCCCCCACTGTTCCACATTGGCAATAATGCAACCAAAGCAAGCTTTCAGTTACAAATCCTTCAACACACATGAATTCATTAAAAATAAAACCAAATGCACAGCTTGTTAATTTTGGAGTTACATGTGTGCTGTGTGGCTGATTTGTGTATGACTCATGTTCATTTTTAGTGCCAGATTACCCAGGCAAAGACAAGGCTCATATTTTCCATTTGCAGGTAACGGTCACAGCAGCAGACCTGTGTACTGTACTATGAATCAGGTGTTCATAGATGAGATCATGCAGGGGCCCTGTGACTTCGAGCAACACAATCAACCTCAACTCCTCTGCTAATCATGTGCCTTTTTCTAAAGGGGTGAAGCCTGGGATCTCAGCGACGGGTTTGAGTTTGACAGTCGCGCCTTAGAACTTAATGAAAATGGAAGCGCTTTTCGGGGGGAAAATGTGCACGACGAGATAAGCAAACCCCCTCAAAATAAGCGCCCCTGCAATTGAGGTTCCGACTCGAGTGCCGCGATGCGATTTGACAGGGACTAATTGGGGGGGGGGGGGGGCATCGGAAGCAGCCCCAGCGGCCCAAAGATGCGTGCGGGTCTCTGGTGCATGCGGCAGGAGTCGGGGGACTAATGAGGTCATATTTCACAGAGGATTAAAAAAAAACTGCTTGCTTAATCAATGCTGCTGCTCCGCATCCTCGGGGGGGGGGGGGGGGGGGGGGGGGGCCCCCAACGCGCCCCCCCCCGGGGGTTTCCACAGCCCCCCTTATTTTTGCGCCGGCCC